GAGAAGTGAATAAACAAGATAATCTGCACAGTAAATTACTGTAATTAGTGACTCACAGTACTTAATAGGGTAAGGGCAGAAAGGAAATACAGGTATGTGATACAGCAGTCTCAAAAGGTTTTATCTTCATGGAATGTGGGTCAGTGAAAAACTTCGCAAAGGATGCAGAAGACTCAGAGCACTGGAACTGACTGGTGGGAAGGAGCAGCATAAAGATATAGGAAATGAAGTTGAAAATTGTTTAATGAAAAGGGAGCAGAAGGGATGATGTGTGGGGGGAAGCATTTTCAGCTAAGAAAAATGCCTTATTATCTTGCACTTTATTTCTTTTTATCCATCTGAATCATGTTCTATGCCAGAAATGTATTTTCCTCTGTTTGGAAGGTGCCTTGCGTGCTTTTGTATGCTACTGAAAGCAGTAGATACCATACAGTAGGCTGTTATTACCTACTTAGAAACAATCTAGATTTGAAATAACACATCGGGGGTTTTTAGCTGTAAAGATTCCTCCACTAAAATTTAGGGTTTCTGTACATGTGAATTTTTTAAGTTGACTAAATCTTCAACAACAAATAATACTTTTTTAGTTTATGATTTAGTTGTCCTGGACTTACTCTAATGGTGAGCTATTTATCTTACAGTTGGTATTTGCAAACAAGAGATCCTCCAGAAGAAGAAAAATGCTGTTTTGGTGGATGGGGTCATCCTAAATGGTCCGATAATGGACTCTAAAGCAGGAGAGAAGTTTGTGGAAGAGGCCTGTAAGATTATAATGGAAGAAGTCATCCAGAAAGCTGATGATGTAACAGAAAAGGTAAAGCCATAGAGTATTGTTGAGAATTTGTAACGGGGATAAAAGTAAATTAGTCTTTTTCCAAGGTGTATTTTAAGTAGCCACAAAATTGCTTTTAGTCTGTGCCTGGCTCTGAAATAAAAAGGCAGCCTTACAAACAAATATCATATTATAAAACCCTTCAATGACATCATTAGCATACATATTTGCCACAAAATAATAATTTTTTTTTATCTCAGAGTACAATGTTCACTTTCTTTGAGATGACAAATTAAGGTAATGTTTTTCTTGTTTGGGATGGAGGGAGTTGTTTGCTGCTCAGGGGCACAGGTATTGGAGGAGGAGTAACAGTGGGTGTAGTACTACTGTGAAAGGGCAACTTTGAGTTTGCTGTAGGTGTTGCAGAACCCCTGCTTAAGAGACTGTATGGGAAGAGAAGCCGCAAATGAATCACGCTTGCCTTTGGACTTGCACTGTGTCCTCACAGCTTGGCAGAAGGGAATCTGAAAATGCTGTGATTACAAACCCTTAGCTGAGGACAGAATTTGAACTGCAGGCCTCACGCTTTTGTGCCTTCCAGCATTCCCTGTTCTAATTTGTATGATCAAGCAATGCCTGGGACAATAAAACCAAGATTCCATGAGACTAGTTTACCAGAGTTATTTTCTGGTAGCATGCTGCCCTGCAGTGGGCAGTTCTGTGAAACTGGTGCTGAATGTGGTGCTTACCTTGTACCTTTATAACCTCGTCTTCTTGGCTAACCTGTTCACTGTTGTTTCTCCACCTCCCCATCACTAGGTCTGTGAATGGCAAGCCCCTGAAACACTGAAGCAAGTTCTTGACCTTGAAATGAGGGACACCGGAGAATCTCATCAGAAACTCTTGCAACTCTGCCAGGATGTTATAAAATACAGTGTCAAAACGAGTAGGAATTTGATTTGTAGTGAAGTGTTGTATGCTAACTTAGGAAGACAGGATAATGTTTATAAAGTTTACACTTTTTTTGGAAACCTGTGGTCTGTGTTTTTCTGCCTGCCTATACAAGTATGCAAACATTTGGCTGTTTGACTGAATGCTGATGACTATAGGTTTGACTGAAATGTGTAATCATGGCAAACTAAAAAAACTAAATCCTGTAATGCCGTTGACTTTAACGATAGATCCTGTAGTTTTTGAAGTCTTGTGAAAGTCACCCAGACAGATATGATATAACAGTCAAGCAAAACAGGCAGGAGAAGGATTTTTTTTTGTGAGATTTCCTGCTGTCTGAATGGTAAGGAGTGGAGTGACCGTCATTGCCCTCATACATTCTTAGTGATGATTACCTGGCATTTACTGTTGTTCTCTCTGAGCAATAGTCTTGCAAGGTGTTAATTTGCTGATAGGCAGTAATTCCTGTTCCAGACACTCTGGGAAGAGAGCCTGCAGTGTCTCAGAGACTGTACAGCACATACATCTCTGCAGGATTAGTTTCTACAGCTAACCTTTCTGCAGCATGTGTAGTATAATTCAATCTTGGCAGACAGAGGTGAACAACATCTGTTCAGTGGATAGTGCTGTGGGTCAGTAGTGCAGGATTTCAGAGGTGGCATAGCTTAAGTTGTGTTTTGGAAAGTGAGCAGGACATTTGATATAGTTAATTTCAGGGCATATTCACTGCTACAGTCACTGTTGATAAAGTAAAGCTGTAAAATAGTTTTGAGAGCAGCCGTATGCCTTTGAAAACCATGGAAAAGCAGCAATACTGATCTACAGGAGAGTGCACTAATAATATGCAGATATAATTACTGAATTACTGTAAGGTGTACTGTTTATATTACTTTTGCAAATTGCCTTTAGATTTTCATTTGTTATGCTATGCCAACTTAGGAAGCACATTGTGTATAAAAATATGCTGTACAAATAGTCTTTAGTCCAAGTATAAACATTTATTGGAACACCAGATGTAACAAGTGGAGCCGTACAGTTTACCTGGTTTTGCATTTAAAAGTACTTTCCCGTGGACTGAAATTTAGGTGGTGAGCCTACTGCTGAACTGACCTGGTTTTATAATCAAAGATAATATAGAATTGTGTCATAATTACTTGTTTACCTGTCTTGAAACACAGAGATATAAGTTCTCTGTGCTTGCCATTTTAAGTCTGCAGCAAGTTTTTCCAAGCTCTTACACTGCATGTATCTTTCAATACCCAAACTTGGGTGGGAGCACAGGCACAGCTCTCTGGGGTCTGCAGGCTCCTTTATTCTACTGTTTAGCAAAATTTGGCTGAGCATCCATTGCGGCCTCTCGAGACCACTGTGGAAAAAACCACTGTGTATGCTCAATTGTCAATCTCTTTTCTTGTTTTGATTTGTAAAATTTGTGAGCAACCCACATTCATTGTGTGCACTACTTACATCTCTCAAACCTTATTTTGGGACCTGAAAGTGCTTAAATTTATTTTCAAAAGATTATCTAGCCTAAGAAAAGAACAGTAAATCCAGAAAATACTGAGGGAATGATGGAGTGATTTGTGGTTTGTAGTGATCGGTGTTCAACTGAGAGGGCCAGTGATGTATTCTCTTTTCATGTATAGCCTGTCACTGCTTGTTTTTCCTCTATATTTTCAGGTCATCCAAGATTTTTCAATCAGTTGTATGCTGGAACAGATTATTACTCGTTAGTCGCTCGTTTCATTACAGAAGCACTCAACCCAAGTGTGTAAGTGTAGCTCTTTGTCCTCTTGGTAAGGAATCAGCATACTTTTTGGAAGAACAGTTTTGGTGTGTTTTTGTTTGTGTGTGTGTTTTGGTTTTTTTTTTTTTTTTTCCTCCTTCTAATTTCTCTTTTCAATGTTTTAGAGGAGATAAGAATTGGGCAGGAATGTCGAAGAGGAAACGATTTAGTTTTCAGTGCTTTTAAACCTAGATTTTGTCTTAGTGCATAAAAATTACTTAATCAGATTTAGTGAGTTGTTAATTTCCTGTGAAGAATTCTGCACAGAACTGAATGCAAATAGTTACCTGTCTATTGTTTACTTGAAAATGTAAAGCCTAAACAAAATGTAATTGTTGCTTGCAATAGATCATTATATCAGAAATATAAGCATGTGACCTACATTAAAAGCAAACTCATATGACTTTGAGAGTGGAAGTGTCACTGAGGTGCTATCAGGAACTAAGCAACTGTTCTGCTGGGTCAGTGTTTTTAGTTGAGTTTTGCTACTGATGATGGTCACCTGACAGATTAAAGAAAGGTGCAAAAAACCTTTATGTAGTTCTAGCAGTGTTCTGTGGAATGAGTTCTGTAGTCTTAATACCAATCACAGTGCTTTTATTTTTGTTTAGATATACATATGAAGTATCCCCTGTGTTTTTGTTGGTGGAAGAAGCAGTCATCAAGAAAATGATTGAATTCATAGGTTGGAAAGAAGGTGATGGTATATTTAATCCAGGTAGGAGCAGTGCAGATTTCAAGACGAGTCCTTATAAACCAACTAATATCAGTGATACCATTAACACTGTATTCATGTAAAGTATTTGAAAATGCATGCAAATAGCGGTGATGCACTCACACAACTATTTAATCAGGCTTATCCTAAACATTTCTAGTAATAATTCTGTGAATCTGGCCAGCAAGTGTATGAAAACAAGTCTAAATTAAAAGTATCTATGTGGAGATTGTTTGTAACTGATGCACTTGCTGATCTTATTGACAACAATACATACAGCCTCACTGGACTGAGCCCAACTGGTTGATAGGCAGGGAGCTGATTTACCTGCTACACACCAACCAGTGATGCCAGAGTGCACTGGTCTATGTATTCTGCATATTAACTGTGGGAGCCAGAGTTTATTATAGTGGGAGTGTCATGAGCTTAACTCCTTTGAGTTTTGGTAGTTTTTTTAAAATAGTAGAATGAAAGCAACCAAATAAATATTTCTTAATCTTCTTGATAACCTACAGTTTTCAAATGTTCTGTAAACCAGCGTTCCAGTCCACTATGTTGAAATAATGAAACTTAATTATATTATTCCACAGATTATTTGGATAACAAGTTAATAGGCTAGATGTGAAGCTTTTTTATCTAATTTGAGAGTGAGAAATGAGTAAATGAATTTAGCCCCCCCTCTAAATGAAAACAAATTTATTAATTCTACACTGCCTTTGAGTAGTAGAAAACTGAAGAAACTAAATTCAGTGGTTCTCTTTAAATGTACTAGTGGTATAGATTTTCCTTTGCATCTGATTTGATGTGTATTTTCAGTAGAATCCTTGCTCTTACAGCAGAATTGCTTCATTAAATCGTACAGTTAAAAGATAAATTCATTGTAACTTTTCTTTTGGGCTAGTTTTATGTAAAGATTTTTCCTATTTTATTTGTATTCTTGTAAGTGAATAAACCAGATTTTATTTTCTGGAGTGGGTTTAGGTGTGGTGTGTTTTTGTTTTTTTGTTTTTTTTTTTTTTGGTGGTGGTGTGTGGTTTGGTTTTTCTTTTTCCCTAATGGCTTTTTTTTCTCTCCATGTAATACTCTGAGCCCTGGTTGCCCAAGAGATCTCCTAGGCATTGTATGGTGAAGCCACAGCTGAGTTCAGTGCAGACAGCTGAGCTGGCACTGCCTCAGTGTAAATGGGAAGGAGATGTTGCAGGGTATTCTCTGTTGGGGAGGACTGGGCACAGTTCTTATTCTGCAGGAAATATCCTCAAACAGGATTAAAACACACTCTGTTCCCTTGTGTGCTGCAGAGCCCAAGGTTCATTTTCTGTGTGTAGGCTTTTGGGGAGGAAATAAGCTATTATGAATACATCTCTAGGGTAACTGTAGGTGTAATTTTTCCCCTAATAATAGGTCAAGCAAAGGTTAGGTGCTTGGACTGTGGCTAATATGATATATGTCTCTTTCTACAGGTGGCTCTGTTTCTAATATGTATGCTATGAACTTAGCAAGATACAAATTTTGTCCTGATATAAAGGAAAAAGGGCTTTCAGGTTTGCCAAGACTGGTCCTATTCACCTCAGAAGAGGTAAGAACAAAATAAAGTTTTTTGAACTTTAATTTTTAGTGGTTGAAAAATTGTATCATTGCATATCTGATGTAGTACTGGTACATAAATTTGTCATCAAGGTCTGACGTGGAATAGTGGAGCAAGGGGAGAAAGCTGATGGTAAATCTCTTCAGGAGTTTCCTTGCTTTGTGAAAATAGACACAGATAGATGTTCCTGCTCTTAGAAATTGCTGATATAAGGATAGACAAACCTGAAGCAGAACGCATATGGTGTGTTGTAGAGGTCTGCAGCATCTGGTTTTCCACAGCATCAAGTATAGTAGGAACCATAGGTAGGTTTTAGATGCCAAAGCTTTTTTCTGCAGGTTTATTTTATACTAAGTTGAGCACTTGTGGGCCTGTGAGGTGGCTTTCTGCAGCTCCCACTTTGCCCTGTCTCTGAATACAGGTTGGTTGTGGTATAGAACCAAACCCAACATCAAGCATTTTGGAAAAAAATAGCTGGATCTTTAGACAGTTCTTGTTTAAATAGTTGAAATTGTGTCTAGTTTTAAAGTTTTTGAATAATATCTGTCCCAGCTGCCTGCGAGAAATTGAGTTAGCTTCAGAACAAATGTATGGATATAATTTTTGTTGTTTTCCTCACCTGTCCCTCCAGTTTTAAGACTATTTAATTTGATTAGTTCAGAGGTGTTATTAATGCCGACTTCACTATATAAAAGCCCCACTGGAAGTGAGAACTTTATTCTACTAGGAAGCATAGAGGTACTAAAATAATTTTAGCTCTTAAGTTTATGATCCAAACAGTTTGCAGTGTAAATAGAAGAGAGGCTTATTTTGAAGATGCCCAAGGGATGAAAGTATTATGTGAGTTGTCCAAGACAGCATAGATATTTTGGAACTGAATCTAAATGTCCTAAAGGCATTTATTTTTCCACAGGCAAAATAAATTTAGCTTTTTTCTTTCTGAAAAATGTTAAAATCATATGCCAGTTTATACTCAATCCATCACATCGTCTTAAAAACAGTTGAGGAAAAAATGAGATTGAAATGTTAGTGATTTTGAAGTGAAGCACATAAAATTTTTACCATGAAATAACACTTTATACATTTCAGTTGAATCTTTCAATGAAATAATCTGATACTCTAAAACAAACATCAATTAATTTCATGACAAAATAAATTTTACTTGGCCCCTAGGGTAATTTTATTTTGGTATCTTTGTTTCATGACTGTAAAAACTGTAAAACATGGAACTGACCAGGAAAAATAAATCAGTAAAATATGTATAAGGCAATATTCTTGATCTCTAATACTTTGCTTGATTCACAAACCCATGTTGTCTTTAGTACTCAATAGTCACTTGCTGTAAAACTGCCACTTTTAGTAGTTAGTTACTGTGGCTGTTGTCTAAGAGCTCTAGTGTTTATTCGTGGTTATGAGGGAGGAGATGTGCATGTTCATGTATACTTATAAGTACTGTACTGAGTCCAGGTTATGTTACCTTTCAGAATCTTGTTTAGTTCAGATATGTCATATTCAGAATATATGTAATAAATTGCCTTCACTGAA